GGTGTACCGGCGGGGGGAGCGCCCCCCATCGCCTCCCCGGCCCGGGAGGCGCTGGCGGGGCAGCGAGCGCCGCGCGAAAGGCTCGAGTTGGGCTCAAAACCCTCTTAGCAACGCGCAACCCCCTGCGAGGGACTTGCCTTCCTACTCCCCTTTAAATCCCCAAGGCAAATTCAGTGGGTATGTTAAAGGTAACCTAGTTATGGGTTAAATAGGCACTTTTTTAGTATCACCGTTTAAAATGAAGTATCAAAGTTCACCATGTTGTAATCAGCCTGGTGTGAATCAGACTGAAGAGTAAAACCTGCTTTATTGGTTAGTCTGGCTGCGTAGACATGGGTGACCTCCTGTGCTCAGTGGTGTTTTCACTTGTGTGATGTGTAAATGCTCACACACCTTCAAATATTCATCAGTGTGAGCATGGCTACAAGCTGTAATTAACTTCTGACATTTGCATGATAAGTGTCTCCGTGTATAGAAAAGGCCTTTTTTATTTCTGTTTTTATATATGTGAGTTCTAACTCAATTTATGTCACATTATTTCCATCAATTTACAAAGATTTAGTAGCCTTTCATTTTTAAATAACATTTTAAATTTCCATTTTGAGTGTATGGTAGGTTATTTTTGTTTATTTTGTGTATATAACTGTGTCGTGGAAGTGGTCAGCCTATTCCTGAAATACAAAAAATAATTAGACTTTTAGCTTAATCAATTGTGTTTAAAAAACCAGTAGTAATTATTGCTGTTTAAAGTATAATCACTGGGCTTCAAAGCTAATTCTGGTGCTCAGAACCTCCTAGCCCCTTGGAGCACTGTTGCTGAGACCTTTGCGTGCTCAGGAAGGTATCGTTGCATCGTCTTCTGTTTACTGAGTGGCTGAATCAGCTCTTGAAAGAAGGATCTTCAGTGGGAAGTTACGTTGACATGGAAGTTCTGTGGTGTGAAGCAGGTTTTCTGGTGTATTTCAAGACTGGAATTTATTAAGATTCTGTGCTTTGCTGGCAGTTTTCCTGTGGTACTAATTTGTTTGCAGCCATATTCATTTGTAAACATGTAAATGTATCAAGTCTGCAAATCTAAATAACATGGCTTGTACTAACTTATTAAGTTTTGCACATGGTAAATATTTATAGTATTTCAAGTGCAAAATAGAGCAGCTGAAACTGTCATACCCACCTGCTTTGATGTGTATATCCCCTCTCTAGTTTGAATTGTTGGTGTGTTTTCCTTGCTGGCAAAGAAGCACCCGGATACGTGTATGTTTGTTTCTAGATGAGAGCTACAAGATGTCTGTGATGTTACTGGGTGTTTTTAGCTTGTGATTTTTGAGAAGTGAGAGCATGGGCTAAAATTTATGCTAGTCTTCAGGGTAGAGATCTTGTATATCAGCATATACTAACCTAACGGTATTTCTAGATATTTCTTATAATGAATCTTATGGGCTTACTGAATTATGACAATCATAGAAATATTTTTTTTCCCGTGCAAAATTTAGTTTATACTTTGGTGTTTCAGTGATGAAACTTATACTTTTCTGCTTTCTTCCACACGTGAGGAGCCTTTCAGTGAGTGTCATCTTCCTTAATTAAAAAAAAACATGTGTGTATACACACACATGCACATACATACTTACGTACATACACACGCTTTAAAATAGGTTTAAAAAACCACAGTTGATAATAAATTACAATTGTAATTATTGAGGGAGGTTTGATCCTGTGTTCTACAAAGCTTTACTTAAACTACTGTTTTTACTAGCAGTGTTGTAATACTTGCTTTTGTTTTGCTTTGTTTTCCTCCTCAGGTGCTCTGTAATAGAGCAAGATTGGTCAGCTACCTGCCAGGGTTCTATTCCTTAATCAAAAGAGTTGTAAATCCCAAGGCTTTTTCTACAGCAGGTTCCTCAGGCTCAGATGAGTCTCACGTTGCTGCTACACCTCCTGATTTATGTAAGAAAAAGCAAATTCATTCTCTTTGCATTTATGTGCTGTCAGAACTTTACATCCCATATAAATTTGAGGGTTCTGAAGTGTGCTTTTTGTGGCAGGAACTTTAATTTTGTTTAAGTTTTGATCACTTTTATGGCAGTCATTCAAAGGCAAATGCCTGTATTTGAGTGGGGAGAGACTTTTCTGTCTGTGTGACTAATATAAGTCCTTGGCTTTTACAGGGCCAAGAACTGTGTGGCCGGATGAAGTGATGGGTCCATTTGGCCCCCAGGATCAGAGATTCCAGTTGCCTGGTAATATTGGATTTGACTGTCACCTAAATGGTACAGCTTCTCAGAAGAAAATCCAAACTCATAAAAATCTGCCTGATGTATTAGCAGAGCCTTCACCAAATGAAAGGCATGAATTTGTAATGGCACAATATATCAACGAATTCCAGGTAAGAACAAGCATTTTCTACATAAAATTGATATTTCTTGTCTGGAGTAAACAAATGTAATTGATCTCACTTTCTCCTGCAAAGGAGTATTGATGTTCTTGATGATTTTTGAAAGATGAGTTTTAAGTGAGATTTTTTTTTTTCCTTTCATGGGTGGGGGGAAGTTTCAGTCTTTTTGTCTGAACATCTAAGCATAGCAAAATAACATTTTAATACTAACTTGTTTATATGGATATGCCAAAAAAAAGAAGTTTCGAAACTTACTATTACTTAGCTCTCTCACCAGATTTTGTCAAATAGTGTTAGCAGTTCCTCGTCTAAGTATTTCATTTAATGGATCTGTTCCTAAGTGCATTGGATAATGACTTTTTGTTCTGACTGTATAGTTTTGACAACTGCTGAATTAATACATACAAAACAGACCAGTGTCACTCAAGTGCAGTGTTTGAACTGTGTTTTGAGAATGACAAAACCCACCGTGGTTCCTTATTAACAATAGTCAGCCTGGCAATTGCTAGTTCAGTTTGTGGCATCATGGTGTTTCAAGAAGCATTTATTGCCATTAGCTGCTAACCCAGCTTTCCAGCTAGTCTGATTTTTGTGACACACTCAGACTTTGGAAATAATTAATCTGCATTGTAAAATTACTGTGTTCTGTTTTTCTTTGAGAATGTAACATTTGTATTCTAGAGTGTTCAGAGCATGTAATTTTATGGTGAATTTCCTAAAAACTTGTGCAAACCTTACCTTCCAGTAAAAGCTCAACAGTCTCTTCTAGGCTGTTTACTTTATGTAAACCAGGTGTGCTTAATGCATGTCTCTCTTTCCAGCAAAAATCTATCAGTTATAATCATGTTGACTATTTTTTTTCAGAAATTTCTGCATAAAGGTTATGGGATAAGAGTTGCAATGCAATATAAGGAAGATTGACATTTCTAATAGGTTTAAGTAATAGTAGTTTATACCTATACCGGTATAGGTACCTGTTTACAATATTTTAGAAATAAATGTTAAATCTTCCTGCGAGTCACCTTTTATGAAACAAGTCTGTCTGTGAACACTTAATAACAAGAATAATTTTGTATATCACATCTCTTTGATTAATAAATGTGAAATTTTACTTTTTTTCAGGGTACTGAAGTTTCACATAAACAGCAAATAAATAATATTGAAACTTACTTTGAAAATGCAAAGGTAGAATGTGCAGTACAAGCTTGTCCTGAACTGTTACGAAAAGGTACATTTTTACTATTTTAGCAAACTGAAGACACACACTGACACAAACTGAAGACAAGGATCCTTATGCTAATCAAGCCCAATTGCAATTTTGATGCTTATGTGCATTCTTGTCTGTAGTCCAAGAGCTAATAGGAGGATGATAGTTCTGGTTTTGGCCGTCCTCTGCCTCAGGGGACACACTGTCCCAAGTAGTATCTGTAGTACAGTACCAGTATTCTGAATCTGCTGTCACATCCTAGGAACATTCTCTTTGAAGATGATCTGAGAAACTTCTGCCAAAAAACTTAATGTAAAGTAAATGTGGTGCAATCAGAAACCATGTGTCTAAAGTAAGTAAAATATAAAACGAATCCATTAAAATGTTGGTTTCACTTTCTCTAGACTTTGAGTCAGTGTTTCCAGAAATGACCGCTAGTCGTTTAACAGTACTGACTGTTACGCAGAAAACTAAAAATGATATGACTGTCTGGAGTCAGGAAGTGGAGGATGAGAGAGAAATGCTTGTAGAAAATGTAAGTAGCTCTCAATAGCATCAATTCACTTTGCTTGCAGGTGGAACTTCTATGTACTGTTTACATCTTTGATCCGTTTCAAGTGGTACCAATTTACTGTGTTCTTAGAATATTTCTGAGCTAATCTGTATGTATATTCTCTTCCTGGTAAAATGGAGATGTTTTTCCCCATCTTTGTACCTATTATTATTCTACTTGAAATGTTTCACAGATCCATTAAGTTCCTTTTAGGAGGAAGTCAGGAGTATGTCAAAAACACTTTTAAATGCCATATTTAACTTTAAAAGATACTTAATTATTACTCTGTTGCCATTCTTAAGGCACAGCAACCATTTTTTCTTATTTCAGCTGTAGTATAATTCATTTTGTAAGCTTCTACTGCACCCTGTTTTTCCTGTTTCTCAAGTAATTGAGATTCCTCTTCAATGTCTATCAGTGTGTGCCTTCTTACTGCTAAGAAGGGGCTGCTCTGTTTTTCTTCAGTATGCCAGTTAATATGGTTAATGCTTTTAGTCTGCATAGCAGTGATACTTTGTACATGTTAAACTTCTTCCAGACTTCCAGGAAGCTCTGCTGTCCACTAGAGGTCTCTATGAAAATAGCCAAATTTTGCATTTTTCAGAAGTTGCAGTGAATGGCCCGGCAGGTGTCGCTGCTTGCCACAGCTGGCAGTTTTTCTTGGCATCTGAAAATATAAGAAATAAACATAATTTTAATGCCATTTTTCTAAAACTAGTAAAAATTACTGTGTGGGAATTCAATTGGTGTGGTCAGAGTCAAATTTATGCTTGAAAATAGTCTGCTTTTCAATTCTGTAGATTGCAAATGAGGGCAATGTAAGTAAAGGCAACCACAGAAAAAGAATCAGTCTGAAGGATCAGCGTAAAGATTACACACAAATTAAAATTCCCTTCATTTTAGTGGGTTCTTCTCTTTGAATTATTTATGGTCTGTTGATCTTTGGCATTGTAATCTGGTCTAATTATATGTTAGTTGGCATCTTTCTTCCTTGTACACCTTCCTGTCAAGTCTAATATAGTCCCTGTAGAGCTCATAGGATGTTAGATGTAACCTCCTGGCCTAAAGGTTACTAACAGCAAATTTGCAATGAAATGGACTGTTTATTTACTCCTTAGATGATAGGAAGCAATCTTAGTTTTTTTTTTTTTTTTTTAATTTAATTTGAGAGCCTTGTGTTCAAGTAAGGAGAGTAATTTAGAGCTGGACCTAAATGCTTACAGTAGTTCTCAAGTGTTTATTAGCATCACAGTAAGGGCTTGCTGCAGGACTGTTACAGCTCCCAATCAAAAGATCAAAAAGAAAATCAAAAAGATCAAAAGATATGAAAGTGTGTCCCTTGTAAGGTGTCTTGAGATGGCTTGGTTACATTTGTGACTTAAAGTTGAAACATAATTAATCTTCAAATCAGTTGAACATCAAAATAGAGCACTGAACCATTTACTATTCAGGTTAAATTTTTTTAGTTTGGGCCATGAAGGAACTGAGGCAGAATAACTGATCTTTCTATAAATTCAAAACCCTGAGCTGCTCCAAGCACTAATTCTAGAGAACAATGCAATGTTTGAAGTTCAGAATAAACAAATTCATTACTTTCACGTTAGGCACAAGTACATCTTTTTAAGAGCCGGAGGAATTTCCTTTATGTTCAGAAATAACTAAGTGAACTGCATGAGTGCTTTACTCCAAATCAGTGTATTCAGCTGTTGAGATATTTGCATCTGGAGCCGTTGTCCTCAGAATGCATGAAAGGTCCTAAGAACACCACATCATCTAGATTTTTGTATTTGTTTTTCACACCTACCTTTGTCTACTTTCTTAGCAGTTTTCCCTGGACGGGAAGCACAGAACAGCGGTCTCATGTTCTTGCCGGCTTATCTCTGGGGAAAAATGTGTTACATATAGTCTGTAGATCGTGCAGTTGTGTCCCATGTTGTCATATGGGAACTAACATACACCTAATCCAGTGGCTTGGCTGCTCAGTGTGTCTCAGCTGTAAATGTACCTGAATTTTGTGGTGTTTCTTCTGTATCGGACAAACAGATAGCTGCCACTCTACCACAAGGAATGAAAACTTGAGCTGATCTGTGGTATTAAGCAAATGTGAAGAAGTTGCTGCAAAAATATAGATTCCATAAACTCTCTCTCCAGAGATAGTAAAACACTGGAGAATAGGAAACTTCTTAGCATGTTGTGTAGTTTTTGAAAGGATTTTAGGGAATATCAGCTGTGGTCCTCCAGTGTTTCTGAAATACAGACAGTAACTTCAGTTGTCTAATGGAAGAGGCTGAAATGATCATCCATCCTGGTCATCAGTCAAATGACAGCATGAAAATTGATGTAGATCACTGAAGTGAAATGTTTATGGATCTATTTGATATCATGATGTTAAGCTAAAATGTTCTCCAAAATCATTTGCAGATTGATGCTTATAATATAAAAGGATTTAATGTAAGAGGAACTACTTACTGTGCTGTTGACCACGATAGGATCTTATGACAAAATTATGCTTTTGATTTCTGATGTATTTAATGCCACGTTTAGTGTCCAATTTGTTGAATTTAGATTAGATCTGTAAACATGTAGAGAAATACCTGAAGTAATGGTTGATGTACTAACAAGTAGTAGGGCTGCAGTCTGCTTGAATAATCAAAGCAGTTGCCTTACTCCTTGTGCATACAGTTAATGCATTACTGACTGGCACAGGGAGCACTACTAAATCTCATTGAGTAGCCTAATGCATGCTGTTGATTTTAGTTCTTTTTCTTTAAAGGATGTTGAATTTCCCTTTTTTGGGGAGAGGCTAAAAACTCTGTGCTAGTTCATTTTCAAATTGTTTGATGTGTTTTCTGATGTGTGCATACCAAAAAAATTCATTTAACACTTTTATTTTTTCTTGCAGTTCATTAACGGTGCCAAGGAAATTTGCTATGCTATTTGTTCCGAAGGGTACTGGGCTGACTTCATTGATCCATCCTCAGGACTGGCAGTAAGTTACAGTGTGCAGGGACTATGCAGTGGGCACTGCCATGTGCCAACCCATAGTTGTATCTCTATTCTTTCCTGTGGGTTAAATCCAGCTTTTCCATATTGACCAAAAGCTGTTACTACAGTATAATTCCCCTCAAAAGTTAAGGAGAGGGACCCTGTTCAAATTTCCACACTGTATCATGTGTCACTGCAGCTGGCACTTTGAAGATGGTGTTCAGCAATAAATTTCACATAATTAGGAGTTGTGTACAAAAAGCTCCTGTTTAGTGCACCAGTATGACCTCCAAAGAGAACTTGCTTGTCCTGACACCTAGTTATCAAGGTAGAAGTCCTTAAGATCTCTTCCACTAGTCACGTTGAAGTAGTGAACATATTGTTCCTATTAAACAAGCCGAGTTCTCACTGTCAGGTTGAACCAGTTTTCTGCAGAAGCTGGAAGTCCTTGTGCCACCAACTTTACCCCCAAAGACGTCTGAAATGCAGCATAGTCTTAAAACTGAAACATATCTATAAGAGAATTGACATAATTTCTGTCAAGACACATATTACTGTGTATCTTTTGTATGAGAACTAGTTTTTAAAACTTGCATCACAGGTGAATATAGTTATGGTAGAGCTCAACTTAAAATCACTATGAAAGGCAATTATTTCTTGTGGCATTAAAGACAAATAAGTTTAACAGGTATTGTTCAGTCTGAAAACGGTTGAAGGTGTGTGTGGCACTTAAAACCTTCCCTGAAAAATCACAAAATGATTAAGGTTGGAAGAGACCTTTGGAGATCATCCAACCCCCTTGCACAAGCTTGTGCAATTCCATGCATATGCCATTCCCTCATTAATGCAATTCCATGCATAAGAGGAACAGCTACAGATTAATAAAGGCAGGCTTCTTTCTATGGGCTTCCATCCAGTAATAACATCCCTCCCCATAAGCTATTCCTCAGAAATAAACTTTTGTGTCAGTATTAAGCTTCCTGTTGTTCTGAGGTGAAGCAACTGAAATAACTGATTCACTCTAATAAACTCTTTTTTTTTTTTTTTTTTGTGGGATGGGTTCACTGAGAACATGCTTTCATTTTGCTGCCTAAAGATCTGTTCTATCCTTAATGCCTATTTTTGCATTATTACATAACATATTCTCTTTTATTATATTTGTTTCAAAACCAGTTTTGGTATATGTAACTGATTAGATATTCAAACACTGATGTATCTTCAACTTTTTGTCAGCAGTAAAGGGGATTATTTAAACATGGGTCTTCATTTTAAATATAGGGTCCTTTGCTTAAATTTTCCTGCACAAAACTATATTTACTCCAAAAGATGTAACTGGCAT